TCTCTTTCGGTGCAATAGAAATTAAATGATTCCAATTATGTGAAATTGGTAGTAATTCTTACTAACCCAGGGTCAGTAAGAAACATGTACATTTGAGAAGTTCATAGTTCAATGGGATTGGTACAAGAAGCTCTTTTACTTTCTTATTTTTTTGGTTACCCCAGATTATCTGCTTCCAAAGATGGACAACTTTTTTTGAACTTCTAAGTAGACCTCACTTTAAATGGGCTTTTGTTCTGTTGGAGAGGTCAAGATATAACCGATTTAATACCTATTCATTGAGGATGTAGCTCTCAGGGGGCACTGATTCCCTAACATTCCTCCACAGGGTACAGAAATAAAATAGAGCCATCTAAGAACTGTCCATTGTCTTTGAACAACAGTTTATTAACCAGGTGACCTGTAAATAAATCCTAGATTCAGTTTATGGCTCTCATTTGGGATTTATGAAAAAAAAACTGAGAAGGAGATTTTGCTAAAAAAAATAACCTCAGTCTACAAATGTTTTTTGAGGATCCGCTTTGTCTAAGACAGTGTGCTTGGCCCTCTGAAGACTACAGTGATGAATCAGGAATGATTCCTACTTGCAAGGAGGCGCAGTCAAGTAACGGGTTTACGTGAAACATTAACAGCATATCCCAAGATAGAAGACAAAAGGTACACAATGGAGGGAAAGAATAAGGTGGTGTAGAAATTCAGAGGAGGAGAAGATGGGTCTAAGAGAAGTCTTCCCAGAGATACAGTAACTGTTTCTGAACTTTGAAAATTCAGCAGTATCTGAATGTGGAGACTAGGGTCAGGAGATTCCTACCTCAGCAAAAGCACGATGTTGTAAAATCACAGGAAATGAATAGGGAACAGTGAGTAGGTTCATTTGATTACATCAAAATATATGAGAGAGAAGAAGAAAGGGAGGAGGATTTAGGTTGGAAGAGTAGCTTGAGAGCCTGTTTCAGGAACCCACAGCATAAGGAGGGCTAATGCAGGTGAGCTGCCTCCCAGCGGCTTTCAGGAGTCACGGGGTGCTAGGTCTAATGGCTGTAAAGTGCATGGAGAGGCGCTATGGGAGGTTGTGAGCAGGGATACTGGAGAAAGACATGATAGATGGTCTCTCAAAGATGTAGATGGGGACATGGGTGGAAAATTTGGAGGTAATTTTGTTGGGAAGGAACTCGGTTTGGAGACTCAGGGAAGTCAGAGTGAAAACAAAGTCAAGAAAGCAAAGCAAGTTTCCTTGTACCCTGTAATGGGGTAACAGGCTACTAAGGAGCATGGTGGTACACCTGCAGTCCTGTCACCCAGGTTGTTATAGGAACTTGCAAGCCCAAATCAGAGCTCTCACTAGCCCCTCTCTACTTGTCTGAAGGAGGACAGAGATTATTATGGCAAAAAGTACACATTCCAAGAAAGGGGGGTGGAGGCGACCTCAGAGAGGAGATGCCCTTAAGGGCTTAGGGTTTGTGGTTTTATAGGTCCTTTTTGGGTAATGGTCAGCATAAGACATGATGTATAGGGGTGATTTATAATTCCTTTGAAGTTTGTCTTAATAATAGGGGTATTTAGGTGACAGTGTTGGTCCAGATCTCTGCCTTCTTTATGTACATAGATTAATTTACATTTAGGAGGTCTATTTCTTGTCCTGATTACAAAGTTACTGAATTGACTAAGGGGCTGAAAGAAGAGGAAGAAAACAGATTAAGTCAAAGAATAAACTGGGCCTTTTTTACAGGCTAAATAGATTTTACAATGGCTTGACCCTTGTCCCATCTCCCTGCCCTAACTCATAAAGTAGGGCAGGGAAGTCCTTGATTGACAATCTTTGGGCTTGGAGGCCTGATCTAATTGGTACAATGAAGACATGGGCTGTGCTCTGATGTTTTTCTTTATCTGGGGAATCGTTTTTCATCTGGGGAATATTGGGACATTCCAAGTTACTCATAGCCTTTGAAACTAATTAACCAGTTAACTCTGTGAGTCCTTTCTGGCTCTCTGGTTTTACCTGGTTACCTTTTTGAGTCCCTTTTAGTGGGCTTTACTGGTTTTATGCTCTCTCCACCCCGCTCATGTCTGTCTGCATAATAGTTTCAACAGGATCTGGCAACTCTTTACTTAGGTGAAGGGAATAAGGGAGATTCAAATGTGATTTAAAACACTGTGAACTGGTTGCCTGGAAGGAGAGCTGTGCTATTAAAAGAAATGGATAATACAGAAGAGCAGGATTTTGGAGACGATTACATGTAGAGGTCTAGAAGTATCAGTTGTGGATGCTATTAGAACACAAAGTGTGGAATCATAGGACTGGCACTCAGGAGAGGTTTAGAGGGTGGGATAGAGCCCTGTGAACCCTGTGGTTATATGAAATCCTGTGATTTGATCAATTTTTAAAAAGATTTTAGAGTGAAAAAAGAAGATGATTAAGGATAGACAGGGATCTATCCTTAATTAGGTTAAAAAAATGGACAAAGGAGGAAGGTTAAAAGAATAAGGAGTGTCTGTTGACATGAAAACCTATATAGGAGAGACTTTTAAGAAGAAAATGCCCATGAAATGTCAAGTGAATACCTTCAGACTATGCAGCAGTCAGCGAGATAAGAAGTAAGAAAAGGCTACCAGAAGTCTAGAATTGATAGTCATTGTTTATCTTCCACAGTGAAATATAAACACGATGTGACACATGGGAAAAGAACGGTGTTTAAATTAGAGAAACTGGAGTCATGTTTTGATCTGGTGTGGCTGAGTTATGTGATTTGAGGCAAAAGCACTTAATTTCTCTGTCCTCAGTTTCTTGACGGTAAAATGGGTATAATGCCTGACCCAAAGGGCTGTGCTGAAATTAAATTCAGTAAGTCAGCATGTACATAAGAAGAAGATATTAGAAATTGGTCTGTTCATCTGGTCTCCTTTGAGCTTGCTTCCCATTGGCTCTGTAGGGACCCAGGGCAGGCTGCCCCAAGATGTGCCACTGTGACATGTGGATTATTTCAGAGTGGAGAATGATCAAGGCCCAAAAGACTCAGAATGAAACTCTGACCTCCTACTCCCCAATTGCATACAAATTATTTAGATGGAGGAGCTGCTGCAGAAGAGCTGTCACCACACAGAGCTGTGTTATAATGTAAACTAGGTGTGGCAGGCTGGGAGGAGTGTGACTGGGTTTGTTAAGATTTGTTTCTGTGGGGTGCATCAAGTGTTTTCGTCATCAAACATTTACTCTTTTCTTATTCCTGTGAATTACTTCTCTTTTCCTGTGAAGTCTCAGACCCCTGCCTCCTTCTCCTTGGTTCCTCATGACATCTGTGCCTCAGTCTCCCTGACTGTCTTTGGAACCCATGTCTATGGCTTTCCTGTACGTACGTAATTAAACTTTGGATTTTTTCCTCCTGTTAATCTGTCTCATGTCAATTTGATTCTTAGATGAGCTAGAAGAATCTCTAGGGATAGAGGAAGTTTCTTTCTCCCCAGCAACTTCCAAAGATGATCATGTATTATGGAAAGATGTTATTTTGGTTTCTGAGTGGTTAGGTTAAATTAATCATAATGATGAATTGCAAACCATTAGTATTGGCCACTCATCCCTCCTTGTGCAGAGCTGAGTGTGGGAGGAGGCAGATGGACCAGGTTTACTTTTTGTGGGTAAAATCACGGTATTTCCACAATCTCTTCGCCTGGCCTTAGTGCATCTCCATATCAATAGGTGTTTCCAAGGGGTGGAGAGAAGTGGTCCATCTCTGAATCAATAGGTGATTATAAAGGGGGTGGAGAGCAAGCATGCACCTGGACCAGAAAGGTTTGTTGGGGTCTTTTTGCAGCCAGGTTGTGAGAGACATGGGTGAGCAGTAGACGACCATTTGTAAACAATAGACGGTTTTCTCCCACTTTATTTCTCCCTTTGACTGATTTCAGCTTCAAAGGTTACTTGCCCTGGGCTGGGAACATATTTTCCTCTGGATTTACAGTCTTGAAGGTCGTGCCAAAGCAAATGGTTGCGCCGTAATGGTGTCAACAGATTCATAAGGGCTGATCAGTCAGAATGATGATTTTATCTGTTGCTGGGCATATGGCAGAAAGCACTGTTTCCATCATGCTAGATTTTGTATCCCCTGGTGCCCAGCAAAATGCTCTGTTCACAGAAAATAGTCAATTTTGCTAACCAAATAGCTGTTTTGTTTGTCCTGTTTGGAGAAATCTGGTTGTAAGGTAATGTGCACATGGGAAAAAGCATAAAGCACTGATTGGAAACAGGAAATTAAATGGGAGATGATGTAGTTTCATGGGGTGTTGGCAGCAAGCAACACAGACAGATCTATATGCCGCTGTATAACTGTCACAAATACAATGCTGTAGACATACCAGAAGATAAACATCCCTAAAATCAGGAGCCCAGTGATAGGAAACAAAAGGTGAAAAAAGTTAAGGGATATGAATCTAAGTCTCATGCTGTTTTCAATTTTTGTATGATAAGAGGGAGGCGTGTTCTTTATACTCACATCTGTTCTTATTAGTAGAGAGGTACACAGATAAAGTAATATAATCCTGGCTGCCATTCAAATGGAAGTTAACCTTTTGTTTTTATTAACAAACAATAAAAGAGCAATCAATAAATGCTACAAGCTCCAGTAACACGATTCACCTGGCAAATTGGTCTGGCTGTCACGGTGGTGTTCCCGAGGAGAGCCCTGGGACTCCGTACTGATAGAGATGCAAATGAGAAAGTGTTTTGTATCAAGAACGAAAGCCAAAAATCCGATTTTAAATTGTTTCAAGGTTCCTTTCTTTCTTAGTCCACTTCCTGTGCTACATTCAAATATATTATGTCAAGCTAGAACTCTGTAGTGAAGTTCTTTTAACAATTACATGCCAAATTTACTACGCGTGAAGGGAAAATGTGTTTGCTTGATAGGGAATGAGATCCTAGGTTTGCATCTTTCTTTCTCAGAAACCATGATTCAGCTGGGTGTACACCCACCTCCTTCTCCCCTCCCCCTGTGATTGCTTCACAGGCCATGGCTCGTGTTCCTGTGGTCGCTGCGTTTGTGAGCGAGGCTGGTTTGGAAAGCTCTGCCAGCATCCCAGGAAGTGCAATATGACGGAGGAACAAAGCAAGAGTTTGTGTGAATCAGCAGATGGCATATTGTGCTCAGGAAAGGGTGAGTACCTCTGCCGGAGCTTGGACCGGGTCCCTGTTCTGACACATGGTGGGTACAGAAGCACCTACAACCATCTCTTCCAGACCTCACGTTGCCTGCATGCAAACCACACTGTCCTCTGCTTGTGCCTGACTTGAAGCTTGAAACTTAACCATGTGAAGTGTAGGATCTAAGAAAATGAAATGTATGAGAAAGGTTTCATACGATAAGATCCCCAGCCACTCATATGCAGCATCATTGCTGAATGGAGGGGGGACTGATGACTGTATAAAGAAGGATGGGATCCACAGGGCACTGAAAGGATACAGCAAAAGGCTCATGGGTAGCTGATGGCCTCACCATTCAGCAGCACAGCTGGAACTGAGAAGGAAGATCACAGGTGTTTGAGCTGCCCAGAGATGCAGCTTTTGGCATGTCAGAGGCCAAACCAGGCAGGTGTGTGTGTGGAGGGCAGGTGCGGTATGTGAGAAAGACCTCAAAGGAGGCTAAATTATTTTACCTTGTAAGAAAAAGAAAGAAAAAGTGTATGGGTCCCAAAAGTCTGGTGTAATTTTCTTTGTCCTGAAAATCACTAGTTTTGCAGCCAAATATGTGTAATCTAATATTTTTTTAAAAAAATGTTAAGCCTACCACGTGGCCAATGTCCCTCCCCCACAATTTTCTTATCTGGGTAGGGAAAGAATAACTAATAGATTAAATTTTGGAAACCTTGATGTTGACATTTCTGTACAAATTCTTGAAAGGGCTTTAAAATCCCCCACTCACAGTGCTTATGGGCCCATCCAGGAGTGCCCATGAAGGGGGTCTCGGAAGCAGGATGTGCTGCAGGGATGTGTCCCCGAACACTGGCTGTTCCTTCACCAGCCACTCAAGGCTGATGCTGTCAGATTGGAAGAGGCTTCTTGGCAAAATTGCAAAGATAAAAACAGATGGATGTTGTGACAGTTGGAAGAAGGCTGACAACTGGAACATGCTCATTTCGATAGACAACTGTGGTTGTCTTGGTTTCCAGGAACTGAGACTGTGGGTTAACAGTGATCTGCAAGGAGGCCGTGCTTTCATCCTGATGCATTTACACCAGTCAGGCA